GGGGGGGGGCGTGTGCGGTGAGTGGTGAACCCACATGGCCAGCTGTTTCTGACCAGTCCGACCGAAGCAGACCACCTCGGATGCGGTGTTTTCGAACGCGACCCATCCTTTCAAATGGGGAGCCCTCAGCCGCTGACATCACAGTCTCCATTCCCACTGCCAGACCGATACTCAACAGACGATTGGTGGGTATTGAGTTTTGCTCTTTGCGTGGTTTTGTGTTCGCACATATTGATCCCATCCGGGCTGACAGCACTTAGACTACAATTATCCGTGTACTGCCACTTTATCTTCGCCTGCTTTACTTTCGCATGCTCGGTGTACTCCTTTCCACTCAAATTCGGGTCGTGTTGATACGGGCCAGTGCCAGGGTGCCGTGCACCACGGTTACTCCCTTTCTCTAGACGTGCACGCCTAGCACGTGCACACGCCGAGAAACGGAGTGTTGTTATTATGGACCTGTCGGCCTTTCCGCTTTCCGCCAGCCTGTACTCCAAACAAGCGCCGTGTGTTTCGGCCGCGCCGAGGGGCGGGGGTATTTCGCGACTATTTCACACCAATTCCGCGTCTATTTTGGGTCTATTTCGCTATAATTCACCTTTATGTAGGACTATTTCGGGGGAAAGGTGTACGAACTATTTCGCAACTGCTTTCCCCCTCGACTCGCGCCCGGCAGAGACAGCCGTCTCTTTTGTCAAAGTACGATTTCGCGACCCAGATTATTAGTGAAAACTGCGCTACGATGAGACCGTACTTTTCTCCCCACCCCAGATTCAACAATCTTCTGTTCTTGTTGCAGCGCTTAGCAAGATGGACGGTGACAAAGAGAACATGGACCCTGGTAAGTAGTACACAACCGCCACTGGGAACTGGGAGAGGTCGGGCCACTGCGCCAGCAGCGTGCCGTCGCGACGCCCTCGCTGAGGGGGGAAATCACCTGGGTTCGTAGTCTGTGGGCCAGTTTGTGATATTTCACCTGCCATTTCGGGGGTTTGTCGGGACTGCTTCACCATCTATTTCGCGTCTCTTTCGGGGATATTCCGCCGTCATTTAGCACTATTTTGGGGGAAGGCGTGCGCGAAGTATTTCGCAAGTGATTTCCCATTCGCAATCCTCGCTTGGTTGTTGGAACAGGTCCCAACTCGCGTTACACCTGCTTGTTCAATCTGTCGATGCGTTTCAAATTGAGACTGTTACTGCTGAGGCACTGCCACTACCCCCCCCCCCCCCTTTTCCCAATGCGTATGAGTTGTCTGGTTTCACCGTGTGGTTGACGTATTTTCCCGTCTTTCCGACAGATTTGCTCAAGGCGCGTCAGGCACGTCTCCTCCTCCTCGAGAGGAGGATGGGAGGCGGGGCCCCGGTCGAGTGGCAGCAGCAGCAAGGTCGGGAGCAGCAGCAAGGTCGGGAGCAGCAGCAAGGTCGGGAGCAGCAGCAAGGTCGCGAGCAGCAGCAAGGTCGCGAGCAGCAGCAAGGTCGCGAGCAGCAGCAAGGTCGCGAGCAGCAGCAAGGTCGCGAGCAGCAGCAAGGTCGGGAGCAGCAGCAAGGTCAGCAGCAACAGGCGCAGTGTCAAGTGCAGCAAGGTCAACAGGCGCAAATAATCCAGCTGAACGTGGTGCTCGGTAAGTCGATAACGCCAATTAATTGTCTCTTTCCTTAAAGGCCGTGGTCACCGTACGAGCGATTAGTTTCTTTGCCGAATGGTTCCTTCAGACCGAGGGGTCCCCCACTATCCCACAGTGTGTACAACGAACGAGTACTCGCGAGTATCTTGGGATTGTTTTTAGACAGTCCCCAAGACTGTCTCTACGCACCAAAAGCTTCTGGACAATTTTTTTCCCTAGCTTACTGAGTTCTGAACAAAACTGTTCACAAGCTTTCAGTGCGTACCAGAACGAACCCCCCCC